CTTTAACGTAAAGTTCATTTGTAAAGGTCACACAACATATGAATGGGTTGAATGAATTTAAAAGAGATAAAACATACTGTTAGAAGGAGAGACTTGTAACGCGACGCTGTGGCGATGAATGAAAAAATCTCTGAATATATGAATCAGTCAGTTGTAGCTGAATTGATGTAATTCTGTCTATAGACTGCTATCTCTTTCTATATCATACGTTCTATATTATCTGTCATATTTTCTTATATAATATGTCCTATAAAGCAGAACAATTTTTAAACGCCACGCAGCATGGTTATGCGTCATCTTTATTATTAAACATCATTGGGTTCAATTAAATAACTTGTAATTAAAGGTAAATATCACAACGTTACTAATGGTTGCCATGGTAACCGTAACGTAAAGTTGGTCATGGCGTTATGTCGCTGTGAGTGCGCGAGCGTATCGTAAAAATTTTACTCTCATTGTATTTTTCCAAACGCGCCAAAAGAGTTATGACTTCAAAAATGAATTAAAAAAGGTTTTGTTTTAAAATGTGAACTTTTTGTATCACGTCTTGTGTGCGGTTATCACTAAAAAAAATTAGCCATAGGTTTTGTTTAAATGGAAAAAAATAATTTATTTGACGAAAAAACCGTTCTGACTACCGCGTTTAAATAATTTTATTTAATATACATTTAAGGAAATTGTTTAGCTTACCTGAACTTCAGAAAAACAACAATTTGAAACATATCAACTTGTGTTGGCAACATTGAAAGAAGTCATTCCTTGATGTTGTTGGCAACACTAAAAGAAGTGTCATTCTATGAGGTATAAATGGAGCTGCACGAAGCATTCCATGGTCTTCGTCTTCTTTGGCTGTCTTCAAGAAGAGTACGCGAAAGTGCTGCCCTATGGTATTGCAATCGCTAGAGTTGTGATTCTTTAGTCGAAAAGTGGAAATAAGTGATTTTAACAGTGTTATTGCTGTGCAAAGTAAAACTACGGTGATTTGATAAAAGTATTTATATTTCTACCTTCTTAACTCGATAAAACAAAGAATAGCTAACACTTGATATTTCAAATCTTTTAGATGTTGTTTTATTTTTTTTTTCAAACATTTTAATCATTACTCGTAATTTCACGGTATTTATTTCAAATCACAACAAAGCGATGGACAGAATCACGCAGACGTCTCAAATAGGTGACAAGATACATAAATCCGTCTTTTCATAGGAGAATTCTATTTATTGTCTCCTTCCACAGATTAAGGTAATCACTAAAGAACTGATAAGCCGCATGCATAGATGAAACTTTTAATTTTGATTCCGTACCATTATCTGTAAAAACGGCAAAAATATCATGTCTGTTGTATATTCCTATTCTGATTTTTAGTATTTCTTACAGCGGCAACAGAATTCCATCATCTATCAAAATTTCAAGTGTCTAACTATCACTTTTCATGAGATACAGCCTGGTGACAGACGGACAGACAAATAGACAGCGGAGTCTCAGTAATAGGGCCTGTTTTACCCTTTTAGTAAGGAACCCTAAAAAAGGACGAAAGTTTTTCACCCTGGAGATTTTCGTCACTTTGGTAATCAGCCGTTTAGTTTAGTGGTTAAAGGTCCGGACGCGAATCCGGAAAACTTGGGTCCGATTCCCGCAGCAGTGGTGAGAAACTTTTCTTCGTTTTCTCTACAAAATGTTAACCGCCTGCATGTTTGTCAGTTCTCTTTTGAAATAGAACTAAAATACGTATAGTAGCTTTTTGTGTCTCCGTCCGTGTCAACGAACGAGTCTTTTGTCTCTGTCACGCACAAATAATCCGAACAGCCTCTGCCCGTTGCGTACTCTACGCGACAATGAACCGGCTCGGGCGATGACCCGGGCTCACGGCCGCCCGGTGACGAGCTAGGCGCGCCGCGCGGCGTCGTCTGCACTTATTCGTGGCAATATTACACCGCTACGCAATTGTGGGTGGACAGTAGCTAGGCACGGAACGAATGGACACTCCAATAGCCTACACTGAAATCGCTTTGTCCAATTTCGGTGGTCTTTGCTGTCGTAAAAAAGATCGTTTTTCAAAATTATTGTTTCCACTGTACCACGTGTATATTTTTTTAAAGGTTGTTTTTGTACTCGTGTATATTTTACATTTCGTTTAGGTTTATAAACTGTCAAGTATAAATGTATCGTATCGGATTCTTTGTATGTTTAAATTAAAAAAAGCGACAATCGTAAACATTTTTTTTTTAATTAGAAACACTGGGTCTGGCACTTCCGTACTCGGTATAAAAAGCTTTTTTTTACTTTATGGCCCGGTATCGACGTCCTTTAGGCTAAATTATAAAAAGCGTAATCGTGAATTGTATCAAAAGCTGTCAATTATGTTTATATTGCCATGTATTTCTTTCTTATGGTCTTTTATAAATTTAAGTTTAAAAAGAGGTTTTAAAAGAAACGGTATTTTATGAACGCAAAATATGCCTTATACAGTTCAGTATCTGAAATAACTTCTGTTACAGTTGGGCACAGAATTTGGTTTCCTAATCAAGTTCAGGAACAATAATTTTGTGATGAAAGCAATATTTGATTCGAATTCAAAAAGAGTAGACTATAATAATATAACTATTTAATAAAATATTAATATAACTTAAATACACCACAAAAAATTTCACCTAATACTGATATTTAAAAAAATATTCAGCGTACAGAATTACAGATATCCAGTTCTAGTCTTAGAGTAGCGTGTAATTTAATAATGCACAGATAATAAATAACATGTTCCATCATACTATTTTTAATTTCGAGTAGTACCTATAAATTAAATACCTATTACAAGTTAATAACATCGAGGCTGTCACCAATAACACTTTGTAATTACCTTTTTTATTACATATTTTTAAGTGTTAGGTGACATTATAATTGCCAGTTCACTCGCATGCCATCTTTCGCGAAGTGTTGTTAGTTTTTTCCAAGACAGTGTACGGTTCTATAGACAACGCGTGCGTTTAATTGGACACCAAACGGTACATTTCGCATCGACGAGCCGCGTCTTCGAATATGTTTACGTAAACAACGTTACGCGCACTCTTTGTTTCCACCGCTGAATTGGATATATTTTATAACAAATGCTGTCGAACGCAGAAACGATGTACCGTACGTAGTCATGACGACGCAAGACTCAAGACTGACGCGCGATACCCGTACATTGAAATGATCTGAGACTTGAATCCATCAAATTATTTATTTATAGCATAATAGGGGTCACCTAGTGGTCGAAATTAGACCATAATTAATTATATATGGTAGTGTGTGTTATTTTTTTTATTGATTTAATGTATTTTCTATGCATACAAAAAAAAAATATTAGCATTCTGCACTCCTCTACATAAACAGAAATACATTCCATATTCCTCCGTCGGGTTAAAAGTTTTTGCTTCATGTATTAATATTTAGATAAAACAAATTAAAAAATAGATAAATTTGAAAATTTCTAAACAAAATCTCGTTCTCAATTAATTAAAAAATGAATTCGTTGCTATGGCTACAGACGCATGATTTTCTCCTTGTCTCTCTTCAACAGCGCACATGCACCGTCTCTTTCTCACGCGGCCTTGGAATTTCAATTCCTAATATTTTATGATATACAAAGACATCAAGGTTAGGGTAATGGAGATGAGTGAATGTTTCTCTTCGGTGTAAACAAAACGCATCGCGTGCATCCGACCGTAAAATAAACGATTGTTTTGTAAATAAAAGATGTAAGGATTAACATTCCGATCACACTTCGTTGGGCATTGACATTTCTTAAAAGTAAATTAAAAATAAATAAATGCGTTTAGTCACTGCCACGTTTTGAGTAAAGAAAGACATCAGCATCGAATTATTGACGATTTGGAAACATATTTTCAATTCCACTTCTCGTGTTATAACTGCTCATTCATGGGAAGAGACAAAGCGTTAATGTCTTACAGCCGACATTACGGCAAGGTTCTTATTGAACAGATTTTGCAATGGCCAAATTTTATGATTCCAGATTGTTTTGTTTAATGTACCTTGTTTTATGCATATTTTATGATTATATGATGCTGGCATAGAGAACTATAAACTCTTGAGAAAAGTAACCAACGACTCGTGCACAGATGAAATATTCTAAACATGTTAAACCGTTAATAGTTCAGTTTATATGACATGTGAATTGAAACACACAAGTCTATCAAAACAGATTTTACCTCTTTAAATTTTATATAAAATGTTTTATATAAAATTTAAAGAGGTAAAATCTGTTTTGCTAGACTTGTGTGTTTCAATTATGTGTTAGAAACTATTAACTGATTGAGATATTTCTTTCTTTCTACTAACATATATAATAAATATGTTATGTACATTAAAAAAACTGCTATAATTTTATTTAAATAAAATTATGAAGCAGGCTATTTTTTATTTAGCAATAAAAAAATATTGAGGAGTCGATATATCAAGCGCGTGCTACTCCGATAAACATGTCAGCAGCATGAATGTCATTATATGATAAAATATTAAGTTATTATATATATATAATAACTTATATATATATATATATATATATATATATTTACCAACTGAGTACATATGGATCATCGACATACTAAAAGGTTAAACTTAATCATAAAGTTGTGACAATGTATGTACATTAAGTGATTACAGGCAAACACTACAAAACAGACAAATAATAGACAACAGAAAACTTAACTAAAAAAAAAATCTTTTATTTTTGAGAAAAAAAAATGAAATATAATAATATTATAAATAAGTACTTGGCTCGTTGTTAATACGATGTAAAATTGAAAAGATTTGAGGCAATATTTTTTTTAAATTACGTGTAGATTTTCGGTATAATATCTAACATTCTGAAAAGGATCATTGTAAGCATTTAGTGTAGCTGCTAGACATGTTTTCGATATTATAAAAGCATATCTTACCTATCTCCATCTCTCAAGTGTCATATTTGCTGAACATTCGAATCGATTTTTACAACATCGCCCATGACGCGTAGCGTAAACCCGGTCACCTCTGCTGAATACGCTCACAACTCGCACCGGAGGCTGTGGGGTCGTCGACCCGCGGGTGGTGACGGTCAAGGTCGCGCCGTTCTGACCATTAAACACTGTAAGAGCCGCGGTGGTGAGATGGAGCTTAAACTATGCTACCCTGGTACGTCCTATGCTGTACTATGAAGGTTTATGCCCTTTACCTGTAATTTTTTTATTATTACTATATTTACTAAAGAGTGGCAAACGAGCTGGCGATTCACCTGATGTTAAGTGATATCCGCCGACCATGGACTTTGGCAACAGCCGAGTGGTTGCAGACGTGTTGCCATCTTTTAATAAAATGGGATCTGGCTACATCACTCACGAAACAAAATGGAGCTTTATTTTTTTTTAATTTGATTAGTTTTACTACAAAATCATTAATGCCCATAAAATAATATATCTATTCCTTGTTCATCCCAGCTAATAAGTGTTGCCAACGAAACACATAGGTTAAGTTATTAAAAAGGCGTTAAAAATTACCCCCAGAGTGCAAACCTTACGGTGTGAAAATTTACTAGCAAACCCCACTCAACGTTACAATCAATTATCTATGCCGTAATTGATGACGCGGGGCGAAACGGCGATATCTTTCGTCTCGCTCCCCCGTAGGAGAGCGTTCACCCGTTGCTTTGTTTTTTTTTATTCAAACGTGCAATGTTACCGGTCGGAAAAAGTCCATTCGTGATTTTCCTTTTTTTCGTTGATAGTCCGGCAAAGGAACGCCGCGCTCTGCCAACATTGCTGGCCGCTTGAGGTAGATAACGAAAAGAAATGCCATCGATTCAAACAGATAAAATAGCGAGTTAATAATTATGTATGCTTGTTTTATAAGAAAATGGGTAGATACGACATTTCGAAATATTATACAGCTAGCATTATCACGCGAATTTCATTTTTTATTAAGCCCGTGCATTAAATGTTGCCAACATCATGATCCTCATAGTGGTGGTAAGTGGCGTCGGAATAAGATGATCGCTCCAAAGGTGTTTCTAAAAAAATACAAAAAAGAAGATACGTACGGAGTTTCTTTCGTCTGTTTCTTCTCAGTTAGAGGAACCTCATTACGAAACGGTGGTAGATTTAAAAATGACTATCGATAGATGAAATGTACATTTCAAACTTCGACGAATAAATTATTTGATTTGATTTGGTTAAGTTTTCTACGACCAGCCAGATGTCTGCTTGACGTCAAACCTCCTTTGAAACAAACACCCAGATCAGGAGCAATTATCTCAAGCTCTCACAAATACTAATCCCGCGCGGAAATCGAACCCACCACAACCAGGAATAGCTTAGGAACTGCGCCACCGATCCATGAATGTTACAAACACTTAGTCGATAATCCTTTTATAAATAAAACAATTCTCTTAATAACCTCAGAAGCCGACAACAATGCTAGGTTAAGTCAATTAGCTACAACAAGATTAATGGCTTTTTTAATTCTTAGCAAGTTCCGATAAAATGGCAGCTAATTGGTGTAGGATAATTGTGTGATTGCATTAAATAAACACGTTCTTATTATATCTGCCTGTAGAAGCTATGTATGTTATATTTTTGAACCGACATACTAAAAGTCAATTCTCAATTCACTAGTAAACCAACATAATAAAAACATTTGAGAGATACGAGAGATAGTTAAATAATAGTTCATCGTCACAAAACTTGTATAACTATTTTATCAGTCATAATAAATTCGACCCATACAGATAAATTAAATATTTGTGTCATTCGTTTGTACTTGCAATATAGCTTTAACATTTACTTTTCTAAGCGTTGGCTTCAAAAGAGAACTAGTGAGTCCCCACCACAGTTAATACAAAACATATATACATATATAGATATCTTCTATCTTGGCTTTGACATCTGGGGTCGTGGGTTCGATCCCCACAAGGGACAACTATTTGTGTGACCCACAGATAGTATCGCATCTTTGTGTTTGTCCCTACAACACAGGATAATGTTATCCTAAAGAAAGGGCAATTGTTTTTTATTAAATCTAAATAAAATAGATCTTCACCACATGTTGTTCCGGAGGATGTATATTTATATGCTTGTTTTGTTACCTTTCTGAATTGGAATAGACCATTCATACATAAATTAGTAGTTTCCGTAATGTACGCGCGCTGTGAGTGACCCCACAGAAGGCCTTTGTCTGTCCCAACGTAGGGGGACTTCGACAATGCCTTTATGGCTCAGGTGAAGCAACGATAGACTATCGCTCGAGCTGCGGGTTCAAATATTTCCTTTTTAACCCACTTCAAAAAGAAGGAGGTTATCAATTCGGATGTTTATATATTTTCTTATGTATGTTCGGCATATCTTTGTTATATATAGACGGATTTGCTAAATTCTATTATTGCTCGAAAAGGTTTTATACCGAAATGGTCCCATATAAATTCCATATAGATCTGATGATGATTTTCGGAGATAGCAACGGAATCCTCCAAAATAAATATATAAGTATGCATTGTTTTGCATGTAACGTTGCAATTACGTACATCATTTTATTTGAAGTCGGTTCTTTTTTTATGAAAAAACTTTTAATGATTGATTTTAAAAAACATTGAACTTACTGTAGTAAAATATTATCCTGTGTTGCAAGGACGTCTTACAAACATAAATTCCACGCGGAGGAACACCCAGATGCGAGACAACTATCTGTGGGTCACACAGTTGTCTCGTGTGGGGATCGAATCACGACCCCCGATGTCGAAGCCAACACCTTGCCAACCAAGTCACAGAGTCCCACCAAGAAGCATCATCACTTACGCTTTTGTATGTGTACTGCTGTATTTTGCTCTATGTCACCTGTTATATTCACAGGGTGAGCAGAGGTCTTACACATTTTTTTTTCTTATAAGCGTAGTGCATCGCGTGTCAAAGTCGATAGTTACCTGAAACAAATGAATGGAGATATTAAGAAACGTCCACAGGTAAAAAATCGACATTTTTTTATACAGAAAGGACACGTTTATTTATTATTATCGAAAAGGAAAAATGGAACAGAGAATAAAAAGCGGCCAAGTGCGAGTAGGACTTACGCACGAAGGTTTACATTATCTATAAAAACGGCAAAAAATCTTGTCTGTCGAATGGGAGCCCCACAAAAAATAATTTTTTTTGTTTGTTTTTTAGTATTTACTATAGCGCCAACAGAAATACATCATCTGTGAACATTTCAACCGCCTGACTATCACGGTTCGTGAGATACAGCCTGGTAACAGACAGCGGTAACAGATTAGTAATAGGGTCCCGTTTTACCCTTTGATGTCCACGCCGCTTACCTAAAGCGGATATGCGTAGATTCGAATCCTGGCAAATGCAAAAAAGCGCTGCATAGGAACACGTAATAAACGGAGGCTCAAGCCGGGAATCGAATTGGAGTAGTCATTACAGTATGACCGTACGCATACAGCGTGTAGCGCTGAACAAAGCGACGTTCTGCTTTCTAGCGCTTTCACCGCCAGATGGCATCACTGCCTACCCGTTTCCGCGCGCCTCTGCATAATGCCGCTGCATATTAAACAGGTGGTGTGGTTGCTATAACGCATGTTGCATGGCCGGTTATTCTAATATAGACGTTTTTTAAGACTATCGTAAATTCATAAAACTATTTCGTGTAGCAGTCTTCGCTGTTACACTAATGGGGAGGTCCGTACGGGTTAGGGTTGGCGTTTCGTCTGGTGAGTGAGGTAGCCGGGGCGCACTTTATTAAGAGGTCGCAACGCATCTGCATCCCTACGGTGATGCAAATATCCACGGGCGGCGGTTATCACTTAACATCAGGTGAACCGCCAACTCGCGTGCCACCTTCTCACACAAAAAATGACAAGTCTATCATAAAAACTATGGAATTATAATGCATATAATAGTCCTATAAAACGCACTGTAAGGATCTCGTAAATACTCAATTTCTTTTGCCTTGATTGATGTATATTAACAGTCATCGTATTGTTAAATAAAACTAATGAAGTTATTTTCATTTTGGTTTCAATTCTTGACGTTAAGACACTACCCTAGTTGTGTCAATGGTCACGAGGCAGACTCGAGACAATCGAGAATTGAACGCAAAAAATTCCGCAAATCGTTTTTAATTAACCAGGTTTAGTGTTCGGGTGAACACGAAATATCATTAATTTTCGTATTTTCTCTTCGTGTACTTTAGGACTTTGCTTTTAGTAATATTTCATGATTCTTAGGTATTTTTTACGTGTATAACAAACCCCCGTACCTGAAGCCAATAGCTTAGCGACGGCGCTATCGTGTCACCCTAAACTAGATTAAAGGCCCATTTACACGGTGCAAGTTTCTTGCCTGTTATATACAATTAAATTGAAGCAATAAATGAGTTGCATTGTCTAAACAGCATATAACATTCTTGACTGTTGAACAAGACTTGCTTCAAGTTTTGTTTCAAAACTTTCCTTGGTGTAAACAGCACACACAATAATTTCTTAAGCAATTCTTGTATTCAATTGCATTCTCTCTTCCTTTGCAAAAATTAGTGCAATGAGTGAGGGTATTTAATCGTTGCTGTTCTTTTGAGGATAGAAATATTGAGAAAAGGTCGTAAAAAAAGTTGGATAAAATATGAATAATAATATATGGATCATAATAAATAAATCTCAATGAAATATATTTAATTCGCCATAATCTAACTTGAACACTTATTATTGAGCCATTTTTTTAAAAAAAAAACAGCCCTTTGTAAAACGTTCAACATTTGCATGAAAAATTTGTCAACGCAAATACGTGCAATACTTGAAGCAACACGCCAATAAATTGTACACGCACATACAATCATGTGTTTAGACAAGTCAAAACTTGAAAGCAATAATCGCCTACACATAATTGCATTGGTGTAAACAAAAGACATTTGCAATTATTTCTTGTCAAGACTTGCATTCATTTTTTTTTACTATATCTGCGTCTAAACTGTTGCTTACAATTCCTGATGGTCAATTACTGCGTGCAACTTATTGCATTCAATTATTGCTCTTGTATGTACAAGAAAATGGCACCGTGTAAATGGGCCTTTAGTTTCACAATTAAATTCTTACGCCCGTTTTCTGAAACACTGATCATCAGTTAATTAATCCGCAGCCAAATGGCTTGTCAAATGTTATTTAAGTTGCCAAAAGGATGGTTAAACTCTCTGAATTGATCAGAATGATCATCTTAATGATCAGAATGATCATCTTAATGATCAGAATGATCCAGATGAATCCAGTGTTCCTGTCTACGCAACTAATGAAAGTTTAAACATGTATTTAACTAGAGGCGAAATTATCATTGTATAAAGATTATTTTTTAATAAAAACATACAAGATTTATGAAATTATGAATAAATTTGTAAATAAAGTTGACATTTTATTGACGGAATCTCTATATTCTTTATCAAATTTAATAATTTAAATACCATTTTTAAGTTAGTTTGCTGCTGTTGAAGGTAACGACGAATGTAACAAAACCATTCGTAAAAAATTTTGTTTTAAAATTTTTCATAAATGTATGATAATGCCATCTATAGTTAATTTATTTAAATGTCTCACTTTTCGATGACTGATCACGGTATCAATTATTGAGTCGAAAAAGCTGCGGTATAACTAATAAATAGTCTATATGGAGAAATCCAGAGACTTAACTATAATAATAATAACTGGTCACATTACTGTGCGAAACATTTTCGCACGGGTCAACTAGTACTTTTTACAAACGGAATATGTGCTAACGAAGCCATATTGTTTTAAACGTCAGTTAAAAATCAAAGCGAAGGCTTAATTCGCGCCAACTCTATTGGAGCGTTCAAAAATACACTACGGCGACGTGACCTTGGTGTCGCTTTATTGTCTGAGACGAGGGGTATTTTCGGCGTGCGTAAATATAACCGTAGGGGGTAAATTCATACGACGATCGAAGCTAATCGGCCTGAGAAGCATATTTGGCTTCTTTATTGATGTCGACTAACGTACATACAGACATGTCAAATACCGAGGTTTATATCAGAGCGTAATTATGTTCAAACCGCTCTAGAAATAATTCTATGTACTATTTATTGTAAATACTTTTTTTCTATAATGTGTTATCAGATTTAGGAACTTTATAATGGTATTTATAAACATTTTCTTTTTTCATATTTTCTTGAAAAAACTGATAGACTGTTTCTACGCTGATATTAAAAAGCATGTGGGACATGTCTATGATACCTTTACACGCAGGAAAGAAGAAAACAGTGTCTCCATTACAATTTAAATAAAATGTTTTTTGAAAATTTATTATATCTTGTCACCTCG